TGCTCGTGGTGGTGCTCGTGGTGGTGGTGGTGGTGGTTGGTGGTGGTGGTGGTGGTGGCGGTGGTCGTGGTGGTGGTGGCGGTGCTGGTGGGGGCGGCGGCGGCGGCGGTGCTGCTGCTGTCGTTTCTGCTGTTGTGCAAATGTGCATGCGGGATGATCGGCAAGGTCCGATCTGTAGAGATGTGTTGCTATCTATCTGACTGCAACCGGCAAACCTTTGAACCCCGTCGAACAATGACCAAATCCACCGCAAGCGAATCAGCCAAAGCACATAAGTCGGATCCCACAGGACCAACAGGCTCTTCGAGCTTCTCAGAAAGCCGCCGATACTCAGGATGCCCTCGGCCTTCATATGCTCATCGGCTTGATTGATGCCTTTGTACGGAATTGCAGCGAAAGAAGGCAGATGCTTAAGTGACTAAGTGTCTAAAGCTTCGCAAGCGAAACATCAAGGCCAAGATGCAAACTTTGTCCAGGAATACCGAGGACTGGGATCGCCAAAACACCAAGGTAAGGCAGGCCGTGAGCCTCTGGGCATGAGGCGAATGACTCGGCACCGGCCCATCCTGACACTCCTGAGCCAAGGCGCACTCCCGCACCAAGGGCCCAGAGGGAGAACTCGTAGTGGTGATGATGCCCCACGTGGTCCTGGAGAGCCGAGCCGTGCTTCGGCAGCCCGCTGTGGCACATGCTGGAGGCAGCTTTCACGACCAACAGCGCGTCTTATTCCGTTGGCCCTCCTATCGCTTTATTTTAAGTGGTTGAGGCTGGACAATGAGGGCCTCTGCCTAGTCTTTGTTGGTCGCTGACATGGGCATTTCACTGCCAGGAGGCAATCGATGGCTTCTCGTAACCAGGAAGGAAGCCTGCGCCTCGGCAAGGTCGGGCAGCCGACGAAGCAGACACAGCTTGAAGAAACGAGTCCGGATGAGCCACTGCTTCTTGAAATTGGGCCCAGTCACTTTTCAGAGCCGCTGCAATAAGGGCGGCCAGCGTCCCTAGCCTGAAGATGGAAAAGGGTCAGGGCATGCGAATGTCAGGATCAGAATTCGAGGCGGTCGACGCCAAGCAACAACATGCTCAATCGAGAGAAGTCCGCACATGGTAATTATCAGTTTATATCAGTGTAACACCGGTTGAAGGTCTTTGAATTGCTAAGATACACAGCTGCCGCTGGACCGTTCTTCCTCGGTGAGTGCGCACGGGCTAGTCCAGCTGTGGGAACGGGGAAAACAACTTCGAAGGGATCAATGCGAGCAGATGCAAGAAGAAGGAAAGATGAGAGACCCAAAAAGCACACCGTGCTCGTGCCGGAAGGCAGCAAAGTCTACCAGATTTCTCGATCTCTGATAATACCAATGACAAAGACATTCCATTCCGAGATGAACCCCCGAAAACTAGCGGCCATGTACGCCGGGCAACAGAACTAAAAGTGCAGCGACCTTTCGCCAGGCGTGCTCCTGCCACGAATGGGACCAGAACTCATCCAGTGCCTGCCAGGAAAAAACCAATGGGAGCGTCTGAGTTTCACAGCAACTTGGAGGCCTACAGCCCCAATCTGACGATTCTCAGCAACCTCATGAACTTACCTCTCGTAGTTGTGTTTTTATTACTAATTACAACGGACATTATCGGAGCAAGGAGTGCGTTTGTCATTTTGTGTTCTTCGTGCTGTGGGTTTCGGATCATAACCTGGTGTTCGTGACTTTCATCCTCGTCTGCGTTCGCGGCTTTTTTGGTCTATTGTTGGGGTTACAGGCTGCCAAAACCTTGCCAAGTTGCTTGGAATTTCGAGTTTAAGGTTGTAGTTCCCTACAGCACAAACAGATTTTGTGATTAGGACTGGATTGGTACGTGTGCACTGGGTACTTAGATGGCAAGCCATTATTCAAGCAACCATGAACTAAATAATAAGCGGATCTCATTTATTTAAGTGGTGCTTAGCTAGCATAGAAACGAACATGACTTGTGATTGGTACATAGAAAACCTGTCTACTATGTACTCGCTTGGCACCTAAATCAGATGATAACTTGTTTGATACGTTGAGGTAGTGATACAGGTTGATATGACGGTGAGGATTGGAATAGTTATGACGCTTAGAGGGGATGTTGCCAAAAACCATAGCATACTTGAGGGTGTTGACATTTTGTTGGTGTAACGATGTAGTAGTAAAAGGACTATTGGCAGTGCTTAGTCGGATTATGTGTGGTTGGATGGTGTGGGTTGCACAGGAGTACAATGGTTATGGGCAGTACTTAATATGATCATTTGCATGTGGACGATTGGGTGAAGTAGTACATGGATTACAGGGATCATTGGCAATACTTAGCGTGATTATTAAAGATGTGTGTGTGTGTGCTCGGACAGATGGTAATTATAGGCAATACGGTAGCATGATTAGTCGTATTTGGATAGTGTTGGTTGCATTGCACTCCGTGCCTTGGTTCATTTCTGAAGCTCTTTCTGTCCTTCTCATCTTTTTTCTTTCCGCTTCGTATGCTGCTCTCTCTCCACCCTCCAACCAGCAATTGACGGCCCAGCCTCGGCCACTCGGCTGAGGTGATAGAAGCTCTTCCTGCGGGAGAGGCTGAAAGGCCAAGCAACGCCGCCCCGATTCGTCGACTCTGTTTCAGATCTTCTGCGTTAGGGACAGTGACTCTTAACTCAGGAGCAGGGGTCCCACTGGCTCCACTGTCGCGCAGGACGTGGCCCAAGCCTTGCTGGGAGAGCCAGGGGGAAGACCTTTCAAATCAACTGCCTGCGACTCCACTCCCTCACTTTGAGCTGGCGAGGACCTTTACACTTCAGTCTCAGAGCTGGTGGAAGCAGGCCTCGTTGCAGAAAAACATCAACTGAGATTTGCGACGAGCAGCCCCACAGCACGAAGAAAGCACTGGTCGACCTTTGAATCTCCGGGCGGATGGCGGTCATCCTGCGGGTGATGAACAGAAGGACCTCGAGCCTCTTGCCACTTACTTACATAAGCTACACGATCCTACAAGCAAATGCTTTGAAGGCCCCGATGCTCCAGCTAACTTCACTGCTGGATCTTTGGAGGTGACCCATCCGGGATGGCTCTCTGTACTAGATCTCGCCGTACGTACTCGACTCTGCACTCAGGGCGCAGCTGGATAGGAATGCCTACTCCGTCTTGTGCAAGTGGGGTCGGATCCTGATGATAAACTCGGCCAGGTGCTTCATGTGCGGGTTCAAGTGGGCCCGGGCACTCTTCTCATCCAAGACCCGGACCTGCGTGGTGCTTGCAAGAGACGTGATCCAGGACAGAAGCTTTGCAGCAAGGCAAGATACAATGACTGTACCACAGTACCACACAGCAGTATGCATGGGCCACACGCAGCCACCTCGCCAGGAAGTTCTGGCACCGGGACTGGCGGCGGCTCGACGGCCATACTCGGAGTGCCTAGAGCAAAACTTCGTACCTTCCCGTGACGAGCCCGCGGCTGCGAGATCAGATCATCGGCCATTCAGGGAAGGCAACTCCCTGCTGAAACCCATGCAGCCCATGCTGCGCACCAGACTGAAGCCCGAGAAAGCCCTCCCCCCTCCCTAACTTGAAGCTTTCAACTCTCAAGTCTTGATCTGTTGCGGCCCACAGTGGCCTGCATCTGTTGCCTTTCCTCCGCCCTTCGCAATCGCTCCTGCCGGCGCTCTGCGGCCTGCAAAGCAGAGTCGCGACTCCCAGAGGTTGGAGCCCGAGCGGAGCCTCCGCTTGTCTCCTTCCCTTACCGTGTGCACCGGGCTCGAAATCACGAACCGGGGGCCTTTTGCCGCTTTTCCTGTGCTTTCCGGTCTCGCTCCTCGCCTTGCCGTGCGATGTGCAGAGTGACACGCAGAGTGGAGTCTACGTCGGAGCCCCTTGAAAGTCGAAGCATGGAGGCGAATATTTACGACTCGTGAACATCCAACCAACATTACAGTTGACGCGACAGCCTTCTCTGTGAAACCGTTGGCACGCCATTGCACACCTCCTCCGTTCTTTAAGCGGCTCTTGTCTTGCCACTATTCTTCCAGGCTTTACGATCTCACGGCTTTGCGTTTCAAAAACGTCGTTTGAAAAGTCCGCAAGGCTCAATGGTCTGCCTCTTCGATTCGATGCCAGTTGACTCGTTGAGTTGCATGTCCGATTCGAGATGCATCGGATGAACAAAGGTGCAATACAGCAGATCACGACAGACTGCTTGGGTGCCCACGGGCTTCTTTGTCAACAGCCTCGCAAAAGATGATCTGAAGTCGCAAAGGCTTGGTGAGGGCCTGTTCTACCTCGCACCCCCCTTGCTGAGCTGATCGGACCCCACAAGGCCGTTTGTGCACTCACAAAGCTGGTGCTGGGCCGTGGCAACCTGAACCCTCCTTTTATGCATTTGCAGGCTGCAGCCAATCTATCGCAGAAGGAAGATTCCGTATGCATGTGGGCAGCACCCCAGGTCCCCCGCAGGTCTCTGCAAAAAGCCGCCCCAGGCTGCTTTGGCCTCTCAGAGCAAGCGGCTCTCTAGGACGAGCTTCCGACAACGGTCCGGCCTGCTTGGCTCTGTCGGAGAGAATAGCACGGACAGCCGCCAGCTCTTTTTGAACCTTACAGTAACGGAGCAATGGCGATAGGCTTGCCATTCACTTCCAAACCAAGGCAGCGACATCAGACGATCATGAATCACTCGCGTGTGCGCATGTCTGGATTGCCACTAACCACTACAACTAACTATACCCCTCCAGCCATGCTCAACGAAGGACCCAGAAAATGATGTGGTGCTGAAGCCCCACCTCGGCGTGATCCGGCTGCATCTGCAGGACCGTTTGCAGGTCGTCACCTCAAGGCCAGCTCGGACTGACAAGGGAAAGCCTGGAAAATTCTTGTGGCTGGGTGGAGGCAATGTTGCACCCGGGCCACTCCGACATGGTCATCACATCCCACAGCCCTGCAACCACAGAAGCCTGAACCACACAGCACCAACTTCACCAAGCCTGGCTAGGGACCCGCACGGGCTTCCTCGGCTTTTCCGAGGACGCGCCGCGCAACGGCACGGCGGAAGTGTGCTTTCGCCCGGAGAGACCTCGCTTTCGGAGGGAAACCGAGAGATTTTAGGCCCAGCCGCCCAGCGTCTCAGCCCCGAAGCCCGCAGACTGAGAATGACAAAACTGTTGAGCGAATCCCTGAGGCCTCTGCGACGAGACATTGTTGCGGGGCACTTCCGCAAGTGTGAGAGCTTTGTTGCACACCTCCTGTGGAATGAGGATCACAGCACTGGCACGAGATTTACCCCCAGCATTACCTGTAGGGTCCGCCCAATGCCATCACGGGCCAGCCCTAGGATCATGTCGTCCGGTTGCTCAAAGCTCCGCTGCCCCCAACTCATGGCAGGCAACGGCAGCGCAAGGAGCTGGACTGACACCACACTTACATGCACTGCCCTCGCAGGTTCGGCGTTCAAGGCCGTCTGGGGTTTCCGCGAGAAACGTGCAGCCAACACAACCAGGCCGACTACCGGCAGCACGATTTCACTGCTCCTCCGCTGCGGAGTGCTCCTCAACACGAAGATACACCTTGCTGCCGCAGGAGATGTGACTAAGAGGTCAACTTCGGATGCTGTGCAAAGTGACCACTCGTTTCATGAAAGGGTTGCTTCTGTTGGACCTACAGGCTGGAAGAGACGTTGCCTGCGCCAGATTGGCGTAGAGCGGCATTAGCAGCTCCACCTTTTCCTCGCTACAAATTCAGGATCCGGACCGAGCACAACAGACGATCCCTAGATGCCGACCCAAGCCAAGTCAAACCGGCGCAGTGTTACGAAGGCCTCACCTCTTGCGCCAAAACAAACAGCAAATTCGCTTCGGCCTAGGCCCCTGGTCAGCAGCTGCCGCGAATCGAACGGGTCCACGAACGTGATTGATCGTGATTGCACTGCACCAATGTCCTTGCGGCGAGCATCCACAAGATCCTCGACCTTCGAGACTGTGGAAGTGTGACAACTTGACGAGGGATCCGCTGATCGTGTAGCTTGCCGACGCGAGCGGACAGAGGGCTTTGAAGCTAGGCTGCCGGCATAAATGACGGCTTCTCGGTAGTAGTCCCTGGCCTGCCGTGGACTAGCATTCAAAAAGCAGATAGCGACAAAACCAGACAGCGGCATGCTCGAGATCGCATAACGAATACAAGCGGCATGGGGATGATACGTACTACGTGACTTGGCTAACTGGCGCTGTCAATCGAAGCGGCCCAAGCACTCCGGCCTCCAGCAAGTTGCCGCACTTGAACTTGCCATTGCCAATCCTGAAAAGCATACTCGAAGAAAACGCATGGCATGACGGACCTTTCCCATCCCAAGCATGCCAACACTTGCGAAGCAGTGACCCTTTGCAGGCCCGAGTTCAGAAAAAAAAGCGTTCGCGTCATCTGTACTGCTCAACATGGGCAAGAGCTATGCTCGGTTCGGTTAGACTGTCCGGAGAAGTGGAAGTGGTGAGGTAGGCCCCAGGGCCCAGGCGTTTTGAATTCGGTGGCGCGAGACACTCGCTGTGCGTTGTTCATGGCCTCCTTGCGGGATTGCACCTGCGTCCGAGGCTGTGACGTGGTTCTGAGAAAGCCATCGGTCTGGCCTTCTCCTTCCACTCCCTTTCTTGCTTCTCCTGCGCCAAGCGACAGGTACCAGTACAGCTGCAGAACTCAATGGGAGCCCAAAAACATCCGGGCCCAAGTCGCGCCTTCTGGTAGTCTTGAAAGCTGCGCGTCATGGCTCTGGGCTGTCTGTCAATCAGTGCATCCTGAGGCCCGCAAATCCCAGAAGTAGCTGCTCTGCAGTTTGCTGCCAAGCAGTTCGCGGCAATGTCTACGAAAGAGCGCATTGCTTGCGAAGTGAAGGATCGAAAAGCTGACGAGCGAGGCCGGCAGGTCTTGGACAAAGTGTCGAGACTGGACTGTTCAATCAGCTCATCCACTTTTTATCATATCAGATGTGTCACAGCTTGAGAGCTCGTGCCAGGGGATCGGTGAGCACATCCCCCTTCGACAACCCTTCTCGAGCACGACATAGCACCAGCGTTTTACAGCACCAACAGTGTGTTCGAGCTTTTGATTAATCGACAGCTACGGAACTCCAGCGGAACCCAGCCACTCCAAGCACACCTCGGGCAGCACGGCGGCGACTGGCATGGGACCATGTAGGGTCCAAGATGCCTCGTCTTTCCTAACGTCTTCTGTAATTGCGACTCCCTGTTTTTGTCTGGGCAAAACTTCATGCATGAACTGGTAGAGGGTGCGTCACCCACACCCAACCATCAGGAGCGGGAGTGCTGACCTGGAGCCGGCAATAAAGAACCAAGGCCAGAATGTCGGCAGAATGCTGCAACCCCTTGGACGAGTCAACCAGACACCAGAAGTCAATTGCCAGCTGCTGTCGCGCAAGGCACTAGGCTTGCAAGCATTGTTCCTCCAGTGCACGCCGCGGTATCTTGAAACTCGAACATCCTGAACTGCAGCTAGAACTGTTCTAGTTGCAGTGATTAAGGTGCAGAGGCTCCACACTTGTCACATCTCGGTGACGATGCGTGTGAAGCCTCCATCTAACATCTTTATGCGCTGCCATCCTCAAGGTGCTCTAAGCTGTACCAGCACGAAACAAGCTTTGCTTGCTGAGTCGGGGCAGAATGCAGAAAGAGACCAAGTGTCTGCAGTCTACAGTGCACCAGCCTGGCTGGTCAAGCGAGCGAATCTCAGTCTTGGAGCATACATCATGCAGATACCTGGGCACAAAACTCCGAGTAACAGCGCAAAGAAAGCTGCACATCCAGAGAAGACCTTCTCTCATGACCAGCATACGACATTCTTGGCCGGGCGTCTGCTCCAAACTGCGAAAGAAAAGTAGAAGGACATCCAGAACCAGTCATCCCTCCAACAGCGCCACTCTTGGCACCTTTCACGGGTCCTCCAGGCAGGCTGCCATGGCTTTCTGAGGCTTATGCATGCTTACGCACCTCAACAAGAACCCAGGAGGACTTTCCGCCTCGCCCTTGCACGGTTCAGAACCAGTGAGCAAGACTGAAGTCCTCCAAGAGTCCACGATGCCCTCCAAGATAGATAGGTAGGTTTTGCCTTCCTCTTCGTCGTGCCGGAAAATCCGCCAGTACATGGGGATGTTGTACAGGATCATGTAGGGGCAATAGAAGAAGCCCTCAGGGATCGTGGCAACTCATGCCAAGAAAGCCTTCAAGAAGACTCTGAAATACACCCTTAGGATATTTGCTGCCAGGCCTGCAGTGTGAGCACTACCATGAACCGCTTGGCAGCCACTCCACATGCCCCTGCCATGTGCGTCCGCACCTGGGTCACTTCGGGATGAAGTCAGCCCGACAAAAACCCTCTGAGACTGCCTACTCAAAGGAGTCGACGCTTGGAAATCCATTTTGCTTGGCTTGCTGGATGAGTCCTACACTGTCCTACACGTTCTGCATTGATGATGTCTCCAGGATCAAGGCCGCCGAACAGTATGCTCTCGTGAACTTGCAGATGTCTTGCGATTTCAAAGGATTCATGATTACAGGCACCAGCAGCGTGAGGGACGCCAGCGAGGCCAGACCGAATAGGGAGCACCAGCCTTGGTTAATCTCTTCGGAATATCCTTCATCGTATGCATGCCGAAAGCATCCGGAGCTATGCTCATCCTGGCCTCCTTGCACCATTGGAAACCCCGACCAAACAGAACTTCTTTTTCAATGAGCTTGTACATGGATCGACGAGACTTGCCCTGGTCAACCGCCCGTGATCGCCCAAACTTCTGTTCATCCTCTCACGGCCATGCATGCCAGCATCCTTGACATGCGTCACGAGACAGCAGGACTAAAAGCGCCGTTTGCTGACAAGCTCAACTTCAAGCGATTGCTTTAGACCCCAGCTGCACACCGAAAGAAAAGATCACCTCTGCCGACCCATTTCGGCCTGTGTTCCGGACTGCACCCGAAAGTGTGCGAAAAAAGTACCTCTACAGGCACCACCGCAAGCAAGCAGCATATGGCTTCCAAGACCTCAAAGTAGGCATTGGTGGTAAACGTGCCTGGCACAAGTCAAGTCGTCATAACAAACGTGACGATTCATTCCCTCAGTCGTACCTGTGTGCACAAGATAGGGAACTGAACAACCTGATCTCGAAATCCTAGAGCAGATCAGTCAATCCAGCATCTTTGGTTTGGGGTGCACGGCCCACGAGCCTACAAAGGAGAAGAACTCCCCGACGAAAGCCAGCAGAGCCATGATCATGCTGCCTGATCTGCTGGACGTGCATATTGAGCACAACAAGCTCGATCTGTGCACTGTAGCACTGCAGCTTGTTTCGCGTCTCGAGGGTATAGGCAAGGTCGACAAGAACTGAAACAGCACGGCTTCAGTGCCGAGGCGCAGAGCTCAACGAAGCACTTGCCGCAACAGCCCTTCATCCAATGCTGCCGCAGGTCCTTCTTCGAGTGATTGAGCGTGCATGCTGATAGCGACGAATAGAGCGAATAGCTAATTTCTCTCTTTGACGAATACTCTTGGGTAGTCTGGACCTATAAAAGTACAAAGGCTAGTCGGGTGCCACTTGTCAGGCAACAAGCTTGACGGTGTCGCCAGTGCGGCCCTGAAGGCTTGGCCAAATGTGGACACAACTGTTGGTCGCTCCATGTGCTGATGTCGCGATATGTCGCATACAAAGCTGTCCCAGCCAGTTCGCCTGCTGTTCGCAGGTAGCGATGCCGCAAGCTATTTGGAAGGGAAGTGCCATCTTTGATCTTGAGACTATGCGAGAGTCCTTTGAAGATCTTGACGGTGCCTAAAGACTCGCAACTGAAGTGGACCTTACGACATGTTGAGGCCACCCCCAAAGGCCCCAGTTTCGCAAGAGAGACGACAAGATTCTTGAGCCCTGGCAGGCCTTCATGCTCGAACAGTTATGGTCGGAAACCGTCGCAAGAAAACTGCTGGTTGAATTTGCGACAGCCGGCAGTAGGAAACAGAGAAAAGCTAGAATCAAAAGAGGTGGGCACGTCTGCATGTCGACATGCAGAGGTGGCTGAAGCATCAATTCTGATAGCTGGCTCGTCGACGCTCCCTTTCCGACGTTCTTCGCCAGTGCTCACTGAGCTTGTGCTTTAATCGAAGCGCTTATTACTTCTAGCTCACCTCCGATTGCCGTCAAGAGGCTGTTGCGAGCTGCTCCAGAATCAAGCAGATCTGCAACACCTGAGGCTGAGCTTCACTTGAAGATTTTGTCAACGCAACACGAGGATTGACGAGACCGATTGTCCTCGATCAGGCTCACCGGCTCCACATCCTAAACCCCTGATATCCTGTTGAACTGCTGCGCAGAAATGTAAGCAACTACCGAAGCCGAGCATCAGCACCTCCCAGGATGCAACTGTCGGATGTCTCGACAGCTCAGACGACATGAATTCGGCCCAGCCGCCCAACAGATCTCCCCAATCGCCGCTAAACTCCGATCCAGAAGGATGGAATTCAGGGGTGTGTCGAACAGCACCTGCAAACTTGCTGCTTGCTCTGCTGCTGACTGATATTGGGCTGGAAAGATCGCCAACCCGTTCAAGCACAAGAGTATGCTTTGCCCAAACAAGTTACTTAGATTGATGTGTCACTAAGTTGAGGAGGACCTGACCCCCTGCATCCGAATCATCAAGCCCAGCGTTTGCTTCGCACATTGCCAAAGCCAATTGTCTCAGATTCCCAAGCAGTTGCTCTTGACCTTCGGCTCTACTCTGCATCGTTGTTTGCTGAGCCACTGTTGGGCCGATCAAGAATCCCACCCTGAAGACCTCAAGGCAAGTAAGAGACTCGGGCTGCATGAAAGAGCCTGGCGCTCGTTGTAGAGACTTGGGAACACACTGCGCCATGCGCATTCCTGGGGCAGTCCGGCTTTACACACCTCTAGCTGAGGCTATGACAAATTTGTGCGTACACTTACGGACATGTCCAGTATGTATGACATTCCTGAAGGCATTTCCTAAATCTACCACGACAGGGCACAAAGAGGAAGGGCACGCAAAGGTTCCGCAGATAGCGCAGGTAGCGACGATCCTGGCAGTCAGCTGGTCCCTACACAACTGTCTGAAACTCTCCGAGTTGAATCGCGCGGAGGGTGTGCAGCTGACCTCGCCACCTTCCAAGCAGAGTCAAACCAGATACCTGTCGCGCCCTCCGTGTCCTGCGGTGTGTGTGACGGCCGAGACCGCAGCCGCGCGTGCCTCGGAGCAGCGGGCGGAGCAGCGGACGGAGCGGATGCAGAATCTGCATCTTTCTGAATAGTTAGATTATCTTTTTCTGCTTGAAATAGGCAGACTCCAGTTGCTGAACTTGGCATTCTGCTGACAGCAGTGCTTTGTGCACCATTAGAGTCTCGGAAACTCAACTGAAGCGTCCTTTGCTGAGTTCGGTCCCGGCCTGAAGAAGAGGAAGTTGCAACAAGAAATGACGACCATTGAGGCCCACCTTGCAAACCGACTTTTACGCATTCTGTCTCTCCTCCTGGAAGCCTCGATCTTAGCAGCCGACCATGGCCAAAGAGGCCCATCTCCATCCATGAAGCCGTCCATGGCTTGTGATGCTTGTGGGAAAGGATGAGAGTTCAGACTTCTAACAATGTTTGTCGGAGTCTAAATGCCCTGAAGCCTGGTACAGTAGCTCTGGGCGGTCCTGCCACAGAGCTCGAGCCAAGCACTGGCCGAGGAAGATTCTTGGAAGCGCAGGCGATCCCAGGTGCCCGAAGTATCGGCAGAGTCCTGTCGTTGAAGCTTTGTCGACGGTGCGCCGCAGCTTGCTTTGCCCTGCCTCAGCCTATGATGCAGATTGTCGGGCAGCGGGGTTGTGCGGTCACACAATCAGAGGTTCCTCTTCAGCCACCGGGAGGGCTGAAATGCGGATGGAGGTGCACCCATAAGCCAGGAGGGTCCGCTGAACCTGACAAGGGATCGTAGAAGCAAAGGTGCCAGTGGCGACGATCTCGCAGCTGCATCACAAGCAACTACAGGTGTGCAGTGCTCCGGCCTGCTCACCAGCGCGGCAGGTGCCTTGGCCAGCGATCATGCATGGAGCCGTCATGTTAAGTTTTGCAAAAGGGCAAGCAGTATAAGCAGTATGAACCAAGACGTCAACGGCACCAGGCCAAAACAGCACTTGAACAGTCCGCTCCCGAATGCGACTCCGCGGCCGTTCACTGGCCCCGGAGCACCGTGTTGAATCGGCCAAGCACTAGGCGGAACTGCGAGAAGAGTTGCCTGTTGGCTGCAATCGCGTGAGGCAGATTAAGGCCATCGTGAGGTACAGCAAGATACATATGTCGCCAGAAACGTGGCAACACTCGGGAGGCAGAATAAGCCAGCAAAATATCTAAACCCACCCATGCAGGGTCCTCCAGGGCCACAGGGCAGTCGCTGGAAGCCATCGGGCGAGGCCCAGGCATGGAAAGCCTGGAGGGGTGAGAAGCTTCTTGGACTTCACGGATCTTGGGATTGGGATGTTTTCAGGAAGCACCGCAAAGCATCCGTCCATGCCGGCCGGCATTCAAAAACCCTCTGACCAGCCTCGGCGTGCCCAGGCGCGGCGAATGCGGCATGGCCAAGCGCCAAGCCAGAGCGGCCTCACTCGTGCAGACAGAACTGTCGGGCCTGTCAGTCGCAGGGCATGGAGATGCGTCCGCCTCTCAAGATAGACATTGCGTTGACTTGTGGTCTCTGAAAATCTCTGCCGGTCAACGCAGAGTCTCAAGGCGAATGAAGGCCAAGTTGCTGTGGTGTTCCAGTCAGCAGCATTGAAGGTATACCTTTGGAGGAGCAACGAACTGCTGCAAATCCTGCCTTGTCCGGAACTCGAAGTGCACCGTTCTTGACATACATGACATACCTTGAATTCTCAGCCACCAGGCCTCTGCACTAACTGCCACTGTTCATTGAGGTCCAGAGCGAGGAGGAGCGGGCCAAAGTAGACAGAGACGCCTCTTCTCTGTAGGGCGTGGGGGCTTGCGAAGGTGCAGAAAGCCGACGCGCCTTGAGCTTCTGATCTTTGAACGGATGGGGCCATTACAAAATCGATCTTCACCTCAGGGTGCTAGTAATGGCCAACCTGGCTCTGCCGGACAGTTCTACAGGCCTAAACAGCACTGCGACGTGTGTCAACACGGCTACATCCGCCTACGTTCCTGCATGGGGATGCCTTCTAACTTCAACCCATTCGGCAGAGACACCGCCAGCCGCTCCGCTGCAGCGGGGATGGAAAGGTGAAGGAAGCCGGCGGTCTCCTTCTGACCGGGCGGTCAGGATTCACAGTGTCGCACTCTATACAAATTATTACAGATTGTGGAGCAGCCAAGCGGGCCAAGTCCAGAGACGCCTCGGCCTTGACGGTGTGTCCATCCACTCTGACGAAGCGTGTCGAAGTCCTCAGGACAATGACACTGCACCAAGGTATGGGCTGGGTTAGCCGCATTGACACTGGGCCGCATACGGCCTGGACGTGCATGGAACAACAAATGGACACAAAGATGCAAGGATATGCAAGGTGTTTGTCTCTGAACTTAGTGCCCGCGAGTCTCGAGGTGCGCAGGAATTTCGGAATGCGAACTTTCAGAGTGAAGGGCTCATCATTTCGAATCCTTGGCAATGCTTGCCGCCAATGGCTAAAAAAAAGCATTCTTGACACAGCAATCTTTGCAGACCTTCATGCCAAGCTTTGCGGCTTGAAGCAAGCAGCCAATACTCCACCGAGGAGTTGAACGGATAGGATGTCCGGAGCTCCACGTGGGCTCTGCCAACAGTTGCATTCCTGAGAGCTTGACAGGCTCGGCTGCGCAGCTCTTACAAGCTATTTTTTGGCCAGGGGACACCACGCTCGGTGCCCACACTGCCGAGATCAGCTGCTGCTGCCCCAGGTCCTCGAAGAAGAGGCTTCCTGGTTGCCATCACAGAAGCTTACGTTACTTGATGTTACTTGAGTCTTGGTTCAGTCACTTTCGACTTGTTCCATGACATGCCGGTCCTGCGAACTTGGGGTAGCCCTGGTGGAAGTTGGATGTGCAGCACTCGTAGTTCGGCGCCAGGCCATACATGGCAGACTGGTCACCTGACTTGCAGCGCGACTTGCGTGTTACGGACATGCTCGATTTTCTGACGGGTCGCCGTCATGTCCCCAAATATGGTCGGGTTCGTTGGAGACTGCCTCGTAAGAGTTGGCAAACCTCAACCGGCTGCAGCTGCGCAGTGATCACGCGACGATGGCAAAGACTGTGTTTGCGTGTACCAGTGCCACGAACAAAGCCTCAAACTTTCTCACCCCTTCATGAGCCAAGCAGCTGAAGGTACGGATGGGACCAGAGGTCTTCGCTCAAACTGCCCGGCAGAGCGTTGAAGGCCAGGGACTCCAGGGCATCCAAAGCTAGCACAGCCTCCTGGCCATCGCGTAAGATGTGCGTCTCGTGCAGAAGTTCTCTCACATGAGGAGTGGTAGCCTAATTCCTCTGGCTTACAGCTCCTGATGCGCCACGCCAGGCATCCCTCTCAGAAATCCCATCTACAAGTCATGCCCATAATCGCATTTCACAGTCCAGCCTCGTCCCCTGGGGCCAGCTGAGAGGCCAGCGCTAGAGACCACATGGACTCAACCTCCAGAAGCTCAGGTCTCGAACCATCTCTGAATCAGAGACGTTTCCCGGGCAGACCGGGCGACCGGTGTGGCGGTAATCAGTAAGACCGCTCAATGTTGGCCGAGCTGCCACAACGCAAAGCTCCGTTCCCCGTGAAGGCATGCGGCCTGACCATCCGGATGCACCGGCGATAAATCTGAGGTCGCTTGCGGCATGAGTCGGTAAGCAATAGTTACAACGTTTAGGACATCCCTGGGAGATTAGGCCATCGGCCCCAAGCCGAGTTCTCCCACCTGCGAGATGCTCATCCGCGCTGAAGGCCCCATTGGGCTGCCTGCTGCTGGTGTCACTACAGGTCTGAGACCCTCCACGTGCCGTGGCACCCATGGTAGCGCTGCAGCTGCTCCCAGGCCAGCCAAGTTTCTGCCCAACCTGCGAAAGTGCGACTCGGCTGGGAGTGGAGCGAGTGACGGCAGCTGCCTGCCGGCGCGTTCCCAGACTGTCTGGACCAAACGACGCCACTCTTTACGGCCTGCAGCAAGCAGGCATTGCGCAAGTTCTTGCACATACTCAAGCTGACAAACTCGGCTCGGCCTGAGCATTGTTGACTCCGTGTGTTTGCATGGAGGTGTTCACCACTGCCTGTGGCGAGTCCACGAACGGGTACAATTGCGGGCAGAGTGCCTGCATTATTGAAGTTGCCAACTTGCAAACCTCGCTACTAAGCCTCCTTGGCGAAGCTGCTAGCATTGTACCTGAGCATGTCGCACTGGCTTCCAATATACGAAGGTTCCACAAGTGGGCCACAAGCCCGCTACAAGAAAAGCGCTGCAACGCACAGTTCGGGCACCCCCCCAATCCGTGTCATGATTTAGGCCCATCTGGGAGCAGAGAGCCTTTCTGAAGGCAAGGAGCCACAAGCCAGTCCAGTCAAAGCCCTGGCTGTGCAAGCGCGCAGCGAAGGCTGCAAGGTCCCGCAGAACGGAAGGCTCAGCAGACCTGGTCTATTTTCAATACTGATCAATAACCCATCGCTCGCGGCCTACAGGCATTGGCATGACATGGGCTATTCCGTGGGTTGAAGCATTGATGCTGGACGCAGAATCTCTGCAGAGACATGCCTTGCTCGGAGCACGGAAGCAAGTGGCACATGGAAGTCCAGCGATGGTCCAGCCATGTGGCCAGCTTAAACATGCATTAGGCTTTGGGCTTGATGTAAGGCAGGAGGCTCCTGCAGCACATCCAGGAAGTAGTGAATCGTCCAAATCCTTTGATCGTCTGCACAAGCCAACGGTCAAAGGTGTTTCGGCTCGGAAGGACATTGAAGACTGGATTGCCAGCTGGCCAGCGATTTCTAGCGGGTTTTGATAGGAGATGCTGCTGCAAGAAGGTTGAGAACTTGTTCATTTCGGCTGAGAGTATGAACTGAGAGTGAGATGTCCACTGATGGGTTGGGATCCTCAGTGCCAGTACGATATATGTATTGAATCCTCTCGGCATGCTGTGTCGCGGCAGTGCACCCGTGATTCTCGCCGCCCAGGCACAGGTCGTGTGTTCGGAATGAAGACCACACTGTCAGGGGCACTCCTCCTCCAAAGAAAGTCAGACGGCTTTTCAAATAGACGGAGATGACTGAGGCTATGAACTGATGCGTCGGCTGCAGTTGGCTCTTCAACGAAGGGAAGCTCTGGGAGGAACAATGAACCCAGGCCTTCAAGCCGCCGGCGCATCGCTGAAAAGAAGCCCAATGCAGCCTTCCGAGAAAGAAGCCTTCTCGCCCGTCTCAAGCAACTACTTGGTATGGGCAGGTCCAGGAGAGACTACCACATCAGTTCCCAAAGGGCCGCTTGAAAATGCATGCTCATGCCACTCTGCATGTGGAAGACCAATACATCGAGCCACAGTATCCAACTTGTTTCCTCTACACAGTGCATGTCCACATCAAGGCTGCAGTTGCAGCTTCCGCGCTTGAGGCCTGGAAAACGGGCCCAGGCCTCTTCGATGCGCTTGCGTCTGGGGCCGCCTGGCAACGCCTCAGGGCTTGGCACTTGGCACGGCAGGGTCAGTTGCTCTGCGAAGCGTGCACTCTCCCAAAAAGCCACTGATCCGTATGCAATTCCCTGGTCAGAGCCCTCGGCGAGCTGCCTCGTGGTACTGGACCATGGCCATCAGGAACGGGTATCCTCAAACAGTTTTCAATTTAGAGACAGTGCGACTGCGAAGCCGCGACCCGGCCTGACTACCCTCCATGCTGCCGAATTGCGGGACCAGAAGTCAGTCTTGTCTGTGTCAGGGCCCAGCCAGCCCTCCTGGGTCTGCCTGACAGAGAAGGACAAGCCGTGATGCAGCGCCCAGTCACTTGGCCAAAACCCCCGAAGATGCGCCAAGAGATGCCCAAAGTCCCTGCCTGTCGAGAATACCTTCTATGTACTTCTCCACTGTCTGCAACAGGTCCTGGCGAAGGAGAGATATGCTGCGCGCTCACCAACATTCAGGAAAGGACCGCCTTGCCAGGTTATTGAAAGCAGCCGAAACCGTGAGTGTCGAGTCACGGAGATTAGGCAACATCAGAGTCTCCTCGTCTTGCAGCTGCAAGGCCAGTGGAACAGCGCCGTTCAGCCAGTATGGTGTGCTCTCGTGGATTCCTCCGACATTGTCCTTTCATCAGTGTGGCTGCCGAGAATCGGGCTGCACAGAATGCCAGATGGCGCGAACAAGAACAAGAGCAACTTCCAGCATTGATACATCCAAGCTTCCGCGTTGCCGCCGAGCCATGAAGTGTTCCGCACCTCACCGAAGCTATTCGATAATTGCGCGAGATTGCTCCAAGGGAGCGAAGCCTCGTAGAACCGGAGGACCCCTGAAAAAATGCCGTTGCCTTCTGCTGCCTAATTTTCTGAGTTGCTTTCGCTTCTGGAATCTACGCGTCTTTTGCTGCGCTAGTCAAGTAATTAAGTCCTCCGTGGCATACCGATCCTGGGCCCCCATATCCGTACGATTTCAGCATCTGCCAGCCAGATGAGCACCTTGCACACTTGCAACTAAGACCTTCTTCTCGGCTGGATGGATTTCTCGTGCACCTGATTATATGCATTGCTTATGAGCGCGCTGCATGTGATCGATGGTCCTTCTTTGGCACGCTCGCAAACTTCATGAGACTACGCCGCCGCCTACCGTGCTCCGAGAGCTTGACGATGACCTACTGGGACCGACTGGAGATTGAAAACAGAAGGGTCTCGCACGGCTGCGACAGCACTGCCAGGCTGGAAAAAAACAGCTTGTGATCGAGCGAAGAGCACTCATCGCGGCCCACAACAGACTTAGACTTGGGATTGAGGTAGCTGCAGGCTGAGGAGCGAGTATTCAAGACACCCCCTGCAAAACGTTCACTCGGCCCTGGCTCTCTGAAATGCCTTGACTTCCATTAAAATCCGGGCACGTTGTCCCAGAAGAGCGGCAGGTGCGACGTCAAGGCAGACGCCTTCAGTACGAACGGATGTTCCCTCGCACTTATTGCGTCATGCTGCTTAATCACTTGGACTGCAGAAGACCCATTTCTGCAGAGGTGCTCGATTCTGCGCATGGAACAGCCACGCTCCCTTGTTTCGGTTCGAAAGGGTGAGACCAGCCACCCCAAAACACGCACCAGTACGGTATTGAGCACCTGCAGCTGCATCTGCGTCTGCAGCCAACCCGCCGGGCGAATGGAACCGGTAGCAAGGCGCCGCCACCTCACAGAAAAACAGGTGCCCTCACTGCAAGCACTGAGAAGCTGGGCATGGCTGTCCGTGGCTGTCCGTGGCAAGATTTTGGTTGCAAAATACTCGTAAGCCAGCACAAGAAGCCGCAAGAGGCCCGTCCTGGGAGGAGACAGGATTGAGCCGCCTGTAAGCGCAAAGTGCGCAAGCCACAGGCGCAGGGCCATGGCTTGCAACATGCTTCCTATCCAGGACGCCGGTTGGTCGAGGCAAATTAGTTGAGGGTTCGAAACACCCGCTGTGACAGAGCATGAAATGGTGTTCCTTGTGGGTGCAATCCAAAGGCGTGTAAGAAGCGACTCATCCCAACCGAAGACGCTTAGCCTGCTCCATACAGGCTGCAAATGCACTGGAGCAGAAGGCAGAAGGCAATGCTGTTTTGCATGCTTGAGCAAGTTCGGGTGCCAAGTCGGTCGCTGCTCAGCCGTGTCTTCGACATGAAGTGCCAACATGTCGTGAGCGCGGTTTCCACACAGGCTGATTTACTTACTTCGTCCACGTCTCGATGCATATGCCGCAGGCTGCTTTTAGGCATTTCATTTACGTGTTTCCTTCTGAGTGGCCGGGTGCTGCAGGAAAACATCCAAGGCTCAAAGGTTCATCGAATGCTTGCCCTTCGCAAGGCTCGCCAGAATGCTGAGCGCAGCCAGCTGCAGCTCTGCTTTGCACCTGTTTTCCTGGCCATCAGTAATGGTTCTCCCGCACCAAGTCAGCATACTGGGCCTGGCATGGCGCCACTCTTCGACTTTCAGGCGATGCACGCCACGGGTATCGGGAAAGGCGGTCTTGTGCATGCCGTCTTGAAATTCGGCTTTTCGCCTCTTGCTGCTTTCGTTCCTGCGTTCTTTCTTTGCTTCCGAGTTGTCCAGGCACTCGCGGCTAGCCGTCGTCCCGACAACCTCCTGCTTCAACTAAATCAACCCGACAAGCACCTGATGAGCCCCCAATCAGTGTCAGAGAAAAACCCTGCGGCCGCCGCTTCAGAACCAACCCTCACTCCCAACTCTTCAGCAGTGAGCGCACCTCCCTCGGTCGCTCCTCTTGTGGCTTCTTTGGCCTCCGCCAACTGAGGCCGAGAGAGCGAGAGAGAGAGGAAGACAGAGGTCTCGGAATCCGAGACTGCTTCATCTTATTGCAGTATTAACCCACCGACCACAGTGTCAGCAACAGTAAGACAAGCATGAAGTAGTCGATACACGCCGTGTAGCTTTAGCTGTAGGGCTTGGGTTCGGTTCAGCCGCGGACACGAGGATCGACCGGCCGCTGGTTGGAAGCTCCATCTGCAGCTTCGCATACACCTGACACGACTCTGCGTGCTCTGCACCAGCTCGTGGCAGTCTCTACACAGTCTGCGACAGGCCTCCGTGAGCGCTGCCCCAAGCATTGCTTCATCGTCTGTGGCCCAAGGCGTCGCGGAGACAAGCTCCTGTGCCTGTCAGTGATGCAAGGGTGCACAAGCTGTGGAGCTTTCCTTTGCAAGGAGTCTCGACCGTACAGTACAGTAAGGGTGGAGGCACCAGGGGGACTGGATACTTCGAAGTAGGCAGCCACTTCGACAAAGACCACCTCCCATGCCCCGCCGGCCTCAGACACAGCCTCTGCTTTGACAATGGCACTCTTAACCTCGACAGCAGAAGTATGCAGAAGGCCAGCCACATCCCAATGGCAAACACTCGAACCGAATTGCAACACTCGAGCAGAGAGTGCTGGGACCCATGCATCCTTGTTGTCTGGCTGCGATAGGGCGTAGCCGGCCTAACAGGGAAGATCAGTCTGGACTCATCGAAGAGGCTGTAGTCCCTCTGGATGGTTGAAAAAGGCAAGAAGTCTGGGGATGGCAGTGCAACATCTGCCAGGCTTTGATCCACAAAAAGACCACATTTAAAAAGTCTATGGGCACTCGAAGCACTGGTTTCAATTGTACTGCGAGCATCTTGCCGGTCAATTCCCTTGACCAGCCTGCGACACATCTGCAGACAGGTCCAGGTCTCCTTCCTCCTCTAGCAGCCTGCAGCGGTGCTTCTACACACTTCTGATCGGCATCTTCGATGATTGCAGAGAGCCCGACATCTGCCCAGACGCAAAGCCGGAGCCCACAAAACTCCTTGTGGTATCCTGCCTGATGTACAGCGCCTGGGCGGTAGCCTGTCGCACCTGCGCATTCAGAGCACTTCAGTTGTCGACTCAGGATCAGCCTTGGAAAGTAATTGGTAGAGAACAAGTGTTTTCAGTTCGGCAACACCAACGGCCGTCCCGTCATGTCACTCTTCCTGTCCAAGCAATACCAATGATCACAACCCAGTGGGCTGTCAGGGAACTCTTCCTTTCGACCACTTGGTGTGCAAAGGCATGCGCTCATACGAAACCGGCGCGTCGGGGAACATCGGATGCTTAGCCATGCGAGCACCCGTAGTCCTCGACGGCCCCCTAATGCCCCAAGAACATTGATGGGAGAAGAATTGGATGATGGCCGTGCGACAAAGATGAGGATTTCCGGCTGCAGGAGTCGGGGTGCCAGTACATTCTGCTGGGGCCCGCACGGTGGGGAAGCTGAAGCCCAGGAACCTTGTGGGGTCAGAGGGTTTTGGGAGCTTACACCCTCGAGGACTTTGCCAAGTAACTGCAGCAGCAGGGCCAGCGCCTCGCGTCGCAGACTTCCGGGCCTGCTCAGCTTTGCTGATTTTACGGGCCCTGTCGCCCCGAGTGTCAGGGCAAGCATGACTGCGAGGCCACTTCATCAAGCCGATGAAGACAGCCTGCGGGCACAGGCTTTGCAGCTATACAGATGCGATGGACGAATACGAGCCGGGGGCCGTGCTACAGAGGCTCGTAGGCGACCGATGTCACGCGAATTCCGGACCTAAGAGCATTGCATTGACCACGCAGGAACAAATCTTCCGGATGCAGGCTGTGCGAAACATAAGGTTCCGAGTTGACACCGCGCACGGCACAACCTTGTGACAGTTTTCGATGTCATCGATCCCTCTTGCAGTGTGTACAAAAAACGGAGCCGTGCAGCGCCCTACTGTGTCACAGACAGACACTCCAACAAAATGGAAGCTGAAATGGAGACAGTTCCGTCTTGAAGAGACCACAGCACCATGTGCCTCCGACATGTGGAATTCTTGCCGTGGCGGGGCACGGATGCTGTGGCTGCGACTGCCCTAGCAGTCCGGTCGAAGATGTCACGAGCGAAGTCGAGAGGAATGCAATCCTGGCAGCTGAATTCTTCTCGGTTGAGCAACTGTGCCGATATGCAAGCTAGAACCAAAACACCTAGGACCTGTGCCATATGCTCTGTCCTGCGAGAGCAGGATGCCAGTTGTGTTCAAGAGAGGCGCCAGCCTGGGCAGAAAAGGACAAGGCGATCTGGGACTTCCTTCATTGATGATGGCTCGACCCTGACCCTCTCTCTCCTGGCCAGGCTGACGACAATGACAAAGCCAGTAATACACCGTCCGCAGACCGAGCACAGCAGCGATCCAGTCATACCACGGAAGCTGGGTCAGGCACAGCCGTTTCGCCTGAGAAGAGAAATCCCAGGACGGTAAGCCAGCTACTGCTCAGCACGGTGTAGCTTCCATTTGTGCTGAGTGGGATTGACAAGTGCCTACCTGCGACAGACCTCCACTCCCAAGCCTCACCGGCCGCGTCCTTGAAGCCTGCCGTGTCGAAGATGCGCAGCAGCTCCTGGCAGACCTGCAGAGATAACCACTGGTTCACCAAATCGTTTGCACAAACCTTCAGCATCGTCATCGTCATCCTGAACTCGTTGGCCTCATCCTACAAGTAATCCTCAACGCCATCACCATGTCCATCACAACACGGATGAGATGCCATGGGCACCGCGACCTGCAAGTAGCATAGTGACGCGCGAAGCCAGTCATGAGATCATGAGATGTCCCATGATGTCCCGGTTTGCTCTGTTCTTGGCGCCTTGACCCTGCCATCATATCCCTTGTGAAAGAGAAAACAAATCAGAGAGCTCTGTTACTGCGCCGTTCTATGGCGTGGAGGTGTGCGCTGCTAACACCGCCAGTACTGTAGGCAGCCCCTACAGTACCGGGAAGCTGTTGCTGTGTCCCAACTCAGCCCACAATGATGATGATTGCATGCACTGGTTTTAGAGTATCAGTCGGCACCTGCTGCTGAGCCGTCTCTGAAGCCAAATGCCGCAAGAGAGCTCGCTTGGCTTCCTGCACGAAGAATCTCTTGACTGAATGTATAGTCCATGGCAGGGTACAAGCTTGAATCGCGCGCACCGTGCATCTCCAACGTTCAGCATACTTCACCTTTCAACCTGTCCTTGGCCGTGTGCTCGGTGATTCCACCAACAGACACGACCAAGCCGAGGAGCAGCGAGGACCGATACTCCTGATCACATTGCCATCCATCGAGCATGACTTGTCAACAAGATCGACCACGCAGGGGTCGATGCGCCGCAGAAGAACCGCACCGAGCCCCACCAGGGTCGTCTACAACGTCGCCGCCTACTTGCCAAGCACCTGCGGTATCGGTCCTCGGCTGAGAGCAAAGGCGTCAGCGAGTCGAAAACAGCGGTCCGGTCTGCCTGGCGGTGAAAATAACAACGGGGCCTCGAAGCCTTTATTTGCCTCATCACTTATGGAGCATCCTGGCTCCGTGGCTCTTTGAAGGCATTGTGGCGCTGTCTGTCGATGACCCACCCATGGACGGTACCAAGGGGTATGGGGTATCACGGGCTGTTCATTCGCTGGCCATTTCATCTCGCCTCCGGCTTGCCTGCTCCTGCGATCTCCGACTTCACCTACGTTCGATCTGGAGCACGCTTGACACTTCTAGGACCAGCTGCACCGAAGCAGGTTCTTTGTTGGGGCCGCGGCAGTCTCGGAAGGCTGCAAGCAGCCTGACAGCAGCTCCACCTGAAAGCGAAAGAAACCACATCATTGCTCGCATGTGCTCTGCTGCTTTCGCGAGTCCCCTCGCCAATGCTCGCGAGCGCAGCCATGTGATGACACGCAGATTGATCGTTGAAGAAGCTTCACTTGGGTTCAAAAAAGAGTGCCTGTGCAGGCGGCCAGGCTTTTCGAGCTGGACCGGCACCTTTGTCCTGAATGCCCGAAACATTCAGAGCTGAGCATCAAGCACCGAACTGCGAGACCATGGAGGTACTGGCCTCTACCGCCGATACCAGCCCTAGCCCCTCGTAGGCCTCCCCATGAAGCACCTGCGGGTGGAACGCTTGAGATTGTGGCAAGATTCAGCTGCTCTACGACCAAGGATTCCACCCGACGCTTCGCATAAGCCAGGCCAAGTTGACGGCCGCAGAGCAAAGAGCACAGGAGCCCTGAGAATTGAAGAACTGCTGCATTATGAACTGATGCGACTGTAACGCGTTTTTTGTCCGTCGCTACTCATGCCTAGCATGAGTTCCAGATGCCCTTTTGAATGTTCGGGTCTTCGATGGCTCCTTTGGATTGTCGGAGGCTCTTTAAGTTAGCTGTTGAGTTTCACTGTCTCTCTCTCTCGCTCTCGCTCCCTCTTTGTCTCTGTCCCTCTCACTCACTCTCTCTCTCTCTCTCTCTCTGCCTCCGTCTCCGTCTTCATCCATGGTACCGTAGTGAGCAAACCCGGGCTTTTAATTGGGGGTGCGAACGTCGGGGGTCCGCCTTGGCACTCTCTGATGCTGCTGTCAGCAAACGTAAGCAACCCACCGTAGGCTCGATCCCGCAAGCGGTCGATCTTTTCCACAGCCTCCAATTATTCGCTGCATTGTGCAGACAAGAGCAATCTCACTAATCTCAGAGTAGGCCTGCTGCAAGAGCAGAGACACCAGCTTTGTGGTGCATGCTGCATCAGGCAGGGCAGGATGCGCATCCTGCCTCGAACGACAGGCTCAGCCTGCCCGCTGCTGCCGCAGCAAAGAATCCTGGGGCGCCAGCATTCGCTGCGCCTCGAGGATGGCCACGATCACCTGACCGGCGGGATGGGGATGCTTCGACAGATGCGCTGCAGTTACAGCAGTTACGACGCTGCGCCGCCTCCATGGCCGCCTCCCGGACCCAGGAGCCGACGTCGCCCCGGCGGTCCGTGGCATAGTCGCCCATGGCCGCCTGCAACCGGCCCAGAGCAGCTCCGAGAAAGAACGGAGAGCTCGCTGGCCCTTTGCCTCCAGTGCAGACAGCAGCAACGATATCTCCTCCGAAGACAGCGCCGCGCCGATGCACAGGCAACCCAAAGAGAGCACGGCATACCTCAAAGGCTGCTCATTTGCAACTGGTGGGGTGGCTTTTGAAGCCTTCGCTACGTAATGAACTGCGGCTGGAAGAGGAGCTGAAAGTCCTTCAGCTCAGCCCCTCAGGGCGCGACTGCCGCGTTGTCGGGTCCTCAGAGCTCGCACTACGTTCACGTTCCAAATTGGACACGCTTCTTCCGCTTCTGCAGATACGGACACCTGTCCTCCTGATCCTTTCCACCAGGAAGGGGTCCTCCCTGCACCTTGACGTTTGGCTACTGGTAGCAGAGGTGCCGGGCACAGCTACACCGCACGGATGAATCCCATGTCAATTTCCCTGTGCCGACCTCCTTGCACAGTGCTGCCAAGACGTCGGCTCGCCTCGCGGGGCTGCATGTTGAACGTTCATGTGTCCTGATCAGGAGCCTTGCTTCTCGGGAATGCGCGCATGTTCCTATTTCAGGTCTCTCCCTCATCGGCTCCTTTCAGCCAATGCTGACAGCGGCATTGCACCAAGACACAATGTGTAGCCACGCCTCCCAGAGCCACCCGACATGCTTCTGAGCTGAGGCTTCATAGGTATAAGGAGGGCAACTGGAGGGTGTCCGTGGAGCGCTGCCTGCCTGGCAGCGATGGTCTCGTCCGCTTTTTGCAGACCTCCGAGGTAAGTCTCCACCTGAACGCAAGCATTTCATTCCATGTCCATTCTGGCCAGCTCTGTGCAAGTGAGTCTATGTGCAGTCGCGCAGCGCATATCTCACAGCCACGAGATATCCACGAGATAAGGAAGCCGTCCGTGTGACAGCTGAAGCAGCAATAACAGTGGTAGTAGTAGTAGTAGTAGTAGTAGTAGTTCTAGTAGTAGTGGTCGTAGTATGGTGGTATAGTAGTATAGTAGTATAGAAGCGTAGTAGTAGTGTTAACGGTAGTAATAGTCGTAGCAGTTGAGCAGCAGTAGTAGTAGTAGTAGTAATAGTAGTAGTAGTAGTAGTAGTAGTAATAGTAGTAGTAGTAGTAGAAGCAGTAGTAGTAGTAGTAGTAGTAGCAGTAGTAGTAATAGTAGTAGGGGTAGTAGTAGTAGTAGTAGTAGTAGTAG